CGTGAATTGACTTTTTTTCGTTGTTATCAATAAATTTTATCAACTTTTTCGTATGATTACAAGTCACGATTTTTTTCAAATACAATTTTTTCCAAATAATCAAAAAAGTCACAATTTTTTTCCGAAAATAATCAAAAAAGTCAATTTTTTTCTGAATAATCAAAAAAATCACAACGATTTGTACAACCAACATCTATAATCAAAAAACGCCATCTTCTTAATCAAAAACGAATCATTTGCGGTATTCGGATTTCCGCAATCTCCCTTAAAACATGAGGCGCATGATCGTGATTGACTAATGCATTTCCAAATTTGTCTGGCAGATACAAATTTCAGATCAAAATTACCAGAAGTACCATACACAATGTCAATAACCAATCCTCAGTCTTTACTTACATTAAGTACTCAAGTAAGTTCGTATATCCTTTCCTTTTACACAAGTAAACGTTAATATATATTTTCTCCTATTAAAATACTGAGAGAGATGTCCTACACTATGGGAAAGTGTAGCAGATTGGGATTTTCATTTTATCAATGAAATGCCCAGTTCGTCATGCGAGGATGCACATAAAACACTGACGAGTGAACTTGAAATACTTCTTAAGTACTTTACTAAGGATAGTTCTGAATGGTTTAAAGCGAAATCTATCAGGAAACAATTAAAGGTCTGTATTATATCTGTTATATTGAGATTGCATAATCGTATTCCGCGATTTCTGCTGATTGATGGGTATTCCTCTGCTTGCCTGAAGTGGGTAGCATGTTATGGTCTGGATCTATAGGTCTCACTATGCCATGTATGGTTACGCTGTCTATTTCTTTGCAAAGTCATACCCTGTGGTTTCTACTGATTGACGGGCATTCCTCTGCTTGCCTGAAGTGGGTAGCATGTTATGGTCTGGACTTAAAGGTCTCACTATGCCATGTGTGACTACGCAATCAGTTTGATACTTTTCATCTACTATATTTGACATCATCAACTTACAGTTGCTTCTTTTCTGGGCCATTAGCTAAAAAGGACAAAAAATATTGTGGTCTCGTCAATTTGGAAGGAGCATCAAGAAGGATTATTGAAAGCTACTGTCGAAAATAAGATCAATGAAAATATTAATAAGGATTACTTGGTTCTGATTGGATTTGCTGTATATCTTTCCTTTCTTATTATACATTATAATTATTAGCGTAAAATCGAAAATATAGCAAGGAATGCTACAAGTGTGACAGCAGAAGCTTATTACGTAACGAGTGATTATGAGATCCCCAAACGTTCCCGAACAGATCATAAAAACTTGGTATATACTCGCATTTTTTTTTTCGTTAGAGTTGCAAGATTTGGCAAAACTGATTATTTTGTGATTTAATACTTTAGGGTGATTACAAACAGTTTCAACAGCCACGATCTCCAGAATGACATATTACGCCAGAAGTTGAAGAAAAAGAGTGTTCTCTTTATGATACTTTTCCAGTTCACATTCATAAACAACCTGAATCAAATCCCTTTCTAGTTTGAAATAAGCGTGAACATGATATAGACGAAGAGGATAATGAATTTAATGCAGATTTAACTATTGTCAGTGGAAAGAATATCTGGGAAAAGTTGATCAAATATCAGCTTGATGTAAATCTATTTAAAACCCATCCAGAATACTACGACATTATTTTCTTCAATTTAAATGACGAAGACGGTTTCCTAGGAACGTTAAACACAAGTATTATTGCGCAGATACGTGAAGAAATAAGGAGGCCAGAAGTAGACACAAATGATAATTTGAACTGAGAGATTAAGTTGTTTCTGAATAGTATTATTGACCGTGACATTAAGAAAACTAAAGAAAAGCTTAATTGTCGAAACGCTGAAAAAATTGATTCATTTGAAAAAAGGTTTGCGTTACATTTTGTGAGCTATATGTAAGTATATTTATTTAATTATTTGATTCATCGAGAAGTGTAATAACTTAATCTTATATAGGATGAAATTAATGGATGACGTGAATTTGTTAACGATTCCATGTCCGAGGGAACCTATATTGTAAACGTTCTAGCATCCATTCTTGGCTACTTCTTTAACAAAAGAAAAAAGATTGGCTTGTCTCATATGGAGAAACTTGCCTCAAGGCATATGCGAAAGACGTTAATTCCAATAAGAAAGATGATGAACGCCGATCTCCAGGAAAAAGGATTGATACAATTATTAGTATGAGAGAAGAAAATAAAGAGATCTCAGTAACTGAAGTCAGTGGACCTCCAATGAAAAATGATTGGGCGCACTTCAAGAGTGATTGTATGAAGATAATGAAGATGTTAAAAACTCTAATAAATCAATATGCCGAACTCAATCTAAGCTCAGATATAACATTAATCAAATTATATGGGTTACAAGTCTATTGTAAGTTTTTTTAATATTATTTTTGCAATTCATTTATTATGCACTACTAACACTTTTGTTTTTATAGTAAATGAGTTGACCATTTACGAATTCCAATTAAAATATACAGAGATTTACACTGCAGAGGCGATATTAACATTTCCCCTACCTAAAACATGGGCAGATATGGCGAAGGCTGATAATGCTGTAATTAGCTTGTTGCATTATGAGGTTCGTATAGATAGATTTCAGGAAAAAAAAAAAACAAAAACAAAAACCTGTACATAAAAAATTCATTTTTAATTTCTTTTAAATTAGCACCTTTTATCTGAAAGCTCAAGATCTGTACGAGATTTTTTATGGGTCAATGATTATAAGGTTGAAGCTATTAAGATGACAACACGAATGATACACTCTCCTGAAAGCATTGAGAAAGTTAAAAATACTAAAAATACCAGCAAAACGAAGAAACGAATAAAGCACGAGTCAATTGAGATCGAATGGTAGAGTATTTTGTTTATTTTGTGATATGTGAGGTTTTTTTTATGTTTTATTTCTTATTTTTAATGAGAATGGGAAATAAAAACACTTATTTTGTAAAATGTGTTATCAAAAAACAAAGATTTGAGAAACATTGATGTTAAAAATAAAGTATTTTTTAACAACTTTTATGAAATTCAAAGACATTTTCTATTCTAATAAAATTTTTTTTAATTTTATAAGCAAATATTTCATTTGAAAAAAAAAAAATACTACTTTATATATTTTAATTATAATTATAATTATAATACAAATTATCATATATAAAATTTTTTCTTATATATATCTTTTAATTAGTAAATCATTATTCAATTAAAATTATAATTTTATTTATAAAAGACAAGTTTTTAAAGTTTTTTTTTTCTTTAATCTCCCTTCTTTTTTGTTTCTTTTTTTTAGAAACTTAAATTTTTTTTTTAATTAAATTATTTTCTTTTTTTTTTAATTCTTTATTAATAAATATAAGTATATTTTTTTTTAATTAAATTTTTTCTTCTGATTCTTTTTTCTTAATTTTTTATTTAAATTTACCTTTTTACTGATTTTTATTATCTATAAAAAATAAGCTTTTTTTTATTTAAAAATTTTTTTTTTTTTAATTTTTTTCTTAAAACTTTATTTGATTTTCAATAATTAAATTTTTTTTTTTTTTAATTTTTTTTCTTTTGAAATTTTTTTTTCAAAATTTAACTTTATTTCTTAAAAATTATTTTTAATTAAATTATTTATTATTTATAAAGATGTTCTGCAAAATTGAATCAGATCAGATTTTATCCAAATTTGATTTGATCTGATTTTTATTTTTTAGGATCTGAATTTAATCTGAATCTGATAGATCTGTTGAAATCCAGATCTAATCTGAATCTGACAAATCAAATCTCAAATCCAGATCTGCAGATCAGTTTAAATCCAAATCTGATTTGATCTGAATCTGAAAGTATTATTGAAAAAATGAATTTTCAGTTCTAAAAGAGATCTAAAAATTTTTTTTTAATGAAAGGAACCTTTTTGACTCTAAAAGAGTTCTGAAAAGTCATTTCTTTTCATTGAAAAAAACCTTTTCAGCTCTAAAAGAGTTCTGAAAAGTCATTCTTTTTCATTGAAAGAACTTTTTCAGCTTTAAAAAAGTTCCAAAAAGTTATTCTTTTTCATTGAAAGAAACTTTTTCAGCTCTAAAAATTTCTGAAAAAATCATTTCTTTTCATTGAAAAGAATCTTTTTGTCTCTATAAGAGTTCTAAAAAGTCATTCTTTTTCATTGAAAGAAACCTTTCAACTCTAAAAGAGTTCTGAAAAGTCATTCCTTTTCATTGAAAAGAATCTTTTTAGCTCTAAAAGAGTTCTGAAAAATCATTTTTTTTTCATTGAAAGGAACTTTTTGACTTTAAAAGAGTTCTGAAAATTCATTCCTTTTCAATAAAAGAAAATGCTTTAAAAAAATCTAAAAATTTGTCTCTTTTTGTTAAAAAGGAATTTTCAGCTTTAAAAAAGTTGAATTTAGATCTAACAGATCAGATCTGAATCTGAATCTGAATCTAATAGATTAGATCAGATCCAAATCCAAATAGATCTGATCTGAATCTGATCTATTAGATTCAGATTGGATTCAAATCAATCTGAATCCATATAGAATACTAATCTAAACTAAAAGTTACTAATAAATGTAATAAATTTTTTATTTATTATTAGATAATCATGAGAAAGTTATGATCATAATTATAGTAAAATAAATAAAAAATTTGAAATTGTATAAATATAATAATTAAAATTAAAACAGATAATGTTTTTAGATTTTATATCAATTTTTCAATTAAATTTTCTTTAAATTTACTAATTAGTATTTAATATATTTTAACTAAATAGTCAAAGCAATAAAAAGAACCTGCTACTTCAATTTAAGAATAAGAAATAATAGCTAATAATAAATTAAATTTTAACATTGATTTTTGTTTATTATAAAATTTTAAAGCTTTAACATTGATTTTACACATATTGTAATTAGGTCATAGTGATAAGTTAAGTCCTATTAATGTTACTATTTCTAATGATCCTAATGATAGTTCAATAATCTATGATGATATATCTAATGATTTTACCACTTTAGAATTATCATAAAGATCACATTTTAACGTGAAAAGATCTCAATTTAGATAGCATACTATTTTAGATTAGATTTTAACATAAGTCTAATTAAGATAATAATAAATAGAAATAGCAAGTATATCTAAAAGTAAACTGGATAAAGTTATAGTTAAAAATGAATTTTATTCATGAGTTCTGCCAAAAATAAACATTAACATCATCAAGGTAATATCATTAGTCTACTTTAATTATCAGATAGTGATAATGATAAAGATAATTGTAATTTGTATTCTTTAAGTGACTCATGCTAATACTTTTTTTTTTATATCTTTGCTTATATTAATAAATCTTTACTATTTAATATTTAAATTAGGTGATGTCTATGATCATCCTAAAAGTTCAAATAAGAATAAAAATAAGAATGATTAAGATAAAGAAATTGAAATTTTAATATCACGCAATATGAAAAAAGGTAATTGTAATTTTCTTTAATTAATATTTATTATGAATATTTGATAATTATTAAAATTAATTCATATTTTTAGTTAAGTCTAAAGCTTTAAATAGAATGGAAAATATGCTTAAAATCTACCAATAATTAATAATAGAGAGACAAGGCATATTATTCATAACATATCAAATATATAATACTTTAAATATCTCTCTAGATCCACTACATGTCAATATGCTTATTTCTTCTCTGATGATAAAACCTGCTACTATTATGCTAAATAATAAAAAAATCTGATTTGACTTTAGCATAAAAAGATAAAGTATCTTTTCTTTAATGTAAAGTACTTTTGGATGAAGTTATTAAAAGGCTTATTATAAAAAATCTTCAATTATTATCTATATAACAATGATGCTAAAGATATTATTTATTACTTTAAAAGGGTTCTGATAAATTTTCATAGTAAAATTAAAAAAAAATGTAAAGGTAAATGAATTCAAAGATAAATAAATTAGAAAAGAACGAATTACTACATTAATGCTAATAAAAGCAAAAATTGAAGAATTCTTATTCAAAAAAGTTATTGAGCAGATTTTAGACAGATACTTAAAAGGCATAGACAAAAATAAGCTTAAAAAATGTGAGACTATAAAAAGCTCATATTGTTTATTAGAAAAACATTTAAAATTTATTATACTAAGTATAATTTCAAAATTATTAAAGAACTTGATAAAATTATAATAAAATATAAAATTTTAAGTAGGTTAGGTAAAAATATTGCATCAAGTTTATCATTAAAATGAAGTAAGGGTTAGAATCATTACACTTAAAATTTTTATTTTTTTTACTATATATACTTTAAAATTTATTTATTCTTTACGAACTTTATATAATATTTAAAAATCACATTTTACATATTTCTTTAATTATACATTCTTCATTTTTAAAAATTGCATTTAACTAATTTTTTAACAATCATAAATTTAAAAATATCAAAGATCAGATCAAAAGCCTAAAGTAAAATAAATATATAGTTGTTCGTAAAAAAATGCAATACTTAAATTAAAGTTTTTAAATTAACATATTTTATTGAGTATGAATTAAATTAAATTAAAATAAATTATATTAAATTTTTATAATTGAAAAGTGTAATATCAATAAATATTATAGTAAACTAAATATATAATTGCTGATCTTTTGCTGATTTTTTTCATTTTTGATAGTACAATACTTTGGTGTTTTTTGTGTTGATCATTTTTGGATGAAAGCTATAATCAGAAAATGATAAAAAAATTAATATAGAAAAATAAACAAAAATAAATTCACTTTCTCTTTTCAATAAAATTAAAAAGTTTAATATATCACAGTTACTTATTGAAAAATGAGTATAAATCTTTACTCTTAAAAAGGCTATCTAACTAGCTTATTACATCTAAAGAAGATATTCATAAATCTATAATATACAGAATTTATCAACGAAAAGAGAAAATAATGAGTTTAAAAATAAACTAAAAACAAGTTATTCTAGAGTTCTTTTCACTCATACTGAACAGA